ACTTAAATAACAGAGGCATACCTAGCTGCATAAAACTACCATAAAACCATCTGGGCCTAGTGCCTTTGTAGAGGGATGAGTTTTCTGCTTCATTGGCTGCTTTCTACTTCTGTCAGTTTTTGTTATATCTACAGACATAAATGGTAATCTGCAACTACCAGATTATCATGCATACCTTGTCATCAAGATGCTTAGTCATCAAGCACTAAATGCTACTGGAAACCCCATCTCAACCAGTCATTGTGACGGACCATTAAGGGTCCCAGACAATTCATCCTAGGGGGATGGCAGCAACCTAACTAACCACAAAAATTTATTCCTAGAAATTCTCTTATTATTTAAAAATTCTCTAAATCTGTGCTTATATATGTGCTTTATACTATTCCTACATGTTGTGTTTTTTCCTCTTTTCTTGATCAGAATTGTCAGAGATCTTTAAAAAAAAAAGTTTTCATTGTAATGGTCGTCTATTTTTTTTAAACTTCTTTATTTCTACTTTTATTTTTTTCTTTAACTAACTGAAATGTAACACACATACCATGAAGTATGTGAAGTATACTATCTGCTTTTATCTTTATTCCTCTCTGTTACTTTCTTTTGGTTAAGTTTTAGTCTTTCTTTTTTTATAACAAATTGAAGAATATAAACTTTCTCCCGAGTATCACTTTGGCCAAATATTACCAGTATTTATATGAAATGTTTCTGGTACCGTTAATTGATTTCTAAGTAGAAAAATAAGAAAAAAAAAAGATAGGCCGCTCACAGACTATATAACACTAATGAACAAGATGCTCAATTTCACTAGATCACACAAAGGCCAAACGCAAAGGACACTTTTTTGGCTTACCATGGTGAAAAACATTCAAGAGTATTAATATCCCAAGTTGGCAAAGGAATGGGAAAGTGTGTGCTCATAAACAATCAAGCAGGGCAATTCAGCTCCACCAGTTAGATCTAGACAGGTACCTGCACTCTGGCTGCCTAATTCTACTTTCTATCAATGCCTTTTAAGAAATACTCTTATAAGCATGTAAGAGTATGTGTATAGAATGTCCACACCAGCTTAATTTATAACAGAGAAATACTGGAAGCAACATAAATATCCATCTACTAGAGAATGGAAAAATGAGCCGTGGGATATTTAACAACCATTAAAAAAGAATAAGGTAAGGCAGATCTTTAAGAACTAAAACAAAATTGTACCCATGATCTATAGACAAGGTAAATTAAAAACAAATAAACAAGTGTGTGCAAAACAGTTTGTAAAATACATTTTATGTTAAAAACAAACAAAACAATCTCACATAGTCACTTTTTTTTTTTTTTTTTTTTTTTAAATAAAGACAGAAAAGGACCTTAAGTTGACACTACACTTTCAAACTGTGGACATCTCCAGCAACTGTGAGTAGCCGAGAGGTGAGAAGACTTGACCGTTTTACTTGTATTCACTTCTATATTTTTTGAATTTTTTTTTCCTGTGAGCTAATACAAATACACTCTTAAAATGCAATGTAAACAATCTCCCATCCCATCCCTCATACTGTAGTTTCTTGAATTATAGTGAGGGCTGAAAGCTCTGGTAGTCTCATTAGCATGGCCTTTTGAGAACTGATGAATTAATTTCTAAAAGCTGCCTAAGATAAAGACCTTAGTGGAAAAGCAGAAAAGACTGACTATGTATTAATCCATGATCTAATCTGCAGACTTGCCTCACATTTACCAACTTTTGCAAGCATTGCTTCCAGGCTACAGAGAAACTGGCAGAGCCCATTTTCATATTTAATGCCTCAACTCCTTTGTCTGAAAGCTCTTTGAGTGATCCAAGCAGCTCGCCTGGAGGCAGGCACACCCCACAGGCTGTGGTTCAATTAAATCTGCTTCCCGCACCACCCACTCTTTTAACAGTTAGCCCAGTATTGCAGAACTAAAAGAAACCAAAGTAAAGGAGGAGATGGGAGGTCTTAAGTCCTCCGTGGCAGTTTCCTCCTTAACCTAGAGATCTCTCTTGAGTTGGGATAGAAAATTCCTGCATTTGGGGCACCTTGGTGTCTCAGTCAGTTGAGTGGTTGAGCGTCCAGCTCTTGGTTTTGGCTCACGGTTTCAAGAGTTCGAGCCCCGTGTTGGGCTCTGCACTGGCAGTGTGGAGCTTGACTGGGATTCTCTCTCTCTCTCCTTTTCTCTCTGCACCTCCCCACTCTCACTGTCTCTCTCTCAAATAAATACATAAACTTAAAAAAGAAAGAAAGAAAGAAAGAAAGAAAGAAAGAAAGAAAGAAAGAAAGAAAAGAAAAGAAAAGAAAAGAAAAGAAAAGAAAAGAAAAGAAAAGAAAAGAGAAAATTCTTGCATTTGTCAGCCAAGGAGACCAGTCCCCATTTATGAAGTCTGTCTGACTTTCTCATTTTCTTCCTTCCAAAGGCTGAGCAGCTATCTTATAGTTGGTCCAGATCAAGCCTCTGAAAGAGAGAAAGAATTATAATCTCCTTCCTCCTCGACACTAAAAATGCTTCCTTGAGAACCAGTTTGAAACAGAGCATTACATTAATTACTTGCTTTTTAAGGGTTAGTTTCAGTATGATTTATTATTAAACAGCTGAGAACTCATTGGTGCTCTACTCCACTTGCTCTATATGTTTTAATTAAAAACCCACCAATGTGATTAGAAGACTCAATACAGTTAAGATAGCTCCCCCAGATCGTTATATAGATTCAACACAACCCCAATAAAAATCCAGCAGGATGTTTTGTAGAAATGAACCAGCTCACTCTAAATTTTTGTATTGAAAGATAGAGGAACTAGAATATCTAAAACAATTCTGAGCAAGAATAACAACATGACAAAGGCAACAAGGATGGTCTTCAACACATCATGCTGAAATAACTGGATATCTATATGCAAAAAAATGAATTTTGAAGCATACCGCACACCATATTCAAAAATTAACTCAAAATGGGTCACAGATCTAAACGTATACCTAAACTTACAACATTTCTAGAAGAAAATATAGGAGAAAATAGTTGTGACCTTATCCACTTATCCACATTGAACTTCATCAAAAATGAGAGCCTCTGCTCTTTAAAAGACACTGTTAAGGGAATAAAGAGAAACCACAGACTAGGAGAAAATCATATATCTGATAAATAGTATGCAAAACATACAAAGAACTCTCACCACTCCATAAGAACACAAACAACCCCCCCCCCTTTTTTTAATGAGCAAGAGTTGAACAGACACTTCATTAGCCATATGGATGGCAAATAATCACATTAATAGGTGTTCACTTCACGAGTCATTAGGGGAATGCAAATTAGATCCATAATGAAATATCACTAGGCACCCTATTAGAAGGATATAATTCTGAAAACCTGACAATATTAAGTGCTGGGAGGAGACATAGCAACTGTAACTCCAATGGAAAACCAAAACGGAATAAGCACTCTGGAACACGGTGTGGCAGTTTCTTACCAAGTGCAGCACATAATTCAACTAGGACCCAGCAATTCCATTTCTAGTGTTTTCCCAAGAGAAATGAAACCGACATTCATACAAAAACTTGTATGCAAATGTTTATAGTAGTTTGATTTGTAATCGCCAAGGACTATACATGACGTAAATGCCTCTCAACTAGAGAATGCATAAACTGTGGTGCATCCATACAACGGAATACTACTTGGGAATGAAAAGTAACAAGTTACTGGTACACACAACAACACGGATGAATCTCGAGTGAAATTACGCTAAGTGAAAGGGGCCTGACTCAAAGGGTACATACTGCAGGCTTCCCATTTATAGGACATTCTGGAAAAGGCAAAATTCTTGGAACAGACATAAAAGTAGTGGTTGCCAGGGGTAAGGGAGGGGTGTGGGACTGGCTATAAAGGGACACAAGGGAGTTTCTGGTGTGATAAAGCCATTCTCTATCTTGAATGTGGTGGCAGTTATATAACTGTATTTGTCAGACTTCACGGAACTGTACACAAAAGGGGCAGTTTATTGTATTTAAATTATAACTTTTTTTTTTAAAGCTCCAAATGGAAACCATAAAAAAACAAAACAAAACAACCACTATAAAAATGACCACAAAGTCTCTGCATGCTGGAAGAGAAACCTCTTAAACAGGACCATTAAAAACAAGGTCTACCACATCATACACATACGCACATGTCCTCTTTGCCACCCCCTACCCTCTGACAGGCCCAGCAGAGGGCAGTTCCAAACAAACCATCGCAACCCCCATCCTTACCGGAAGCGTGACTGTCTTAGCACTGAAAGGAGGCACAAATAATACCCCACGAAGGACCTAGTACCTGAGAGCTATAAAGAGCTGGGAGAGGCCACAGAAGTTCCTTCCAACTGCAGGGGGAATGGCACTGCCCCTTCTTATTCTTCCTTAGAACGAGGCTGTCACACACTCTCCAGCAGTGCGCTCACCCCTGTCGTGACCGCGTTTACATCGTCTGCCTGGCTGTCCGTCCTGCGGCACTCACTCCCTCACGGAGGAGACGGAATTTTGCAGAGGCAATGAAAGTAGGCCAAGGCGACAGAGCACTCTAGTTACCGGGTGGCAGCCAATCACGGGCCCCTCCCCAGGAGCGTCTCACTGTGAGGTCAGGACTCAAAGCAGAGCCTGTGCCGTCAGCCTGCCCCCAAAGGGACTGACTTGTTGGGCTTGTTTTTCCACAGCCTTAACTTGAGGGTTTATGACTGGATACCCCAAATCAAGCTCCATTACTCTGCGGGCCATTTCTCCTTCCACAGTTCTTACCTGGTCTGACCTAACCACCTCCTTGCTTCGCGTGCTGAAGGGTGGTGAGCCAACTCTACCTAACACAGGGCATTGACAATGAAAGCTCATAATCAACACCCACCACCCCCAACTGCTATGACACCCAGCTCCCTCCTCCCAAGGAACATCATCCTCTCCTTCCACTCAGGATCACAAACTTTAAAAAACCCTTTCAAGGTTGTCTCTGATGGGAGCGGGGTGGGGTGGGGGTGTACCTTTTGGTCTTCCATCCACGGATACCAGCTTCTTTGTTTCTGCTGTTAACAAGAGCTCATAAGGATGCTCGTCCTCTTCCCTGGCTGCACTTCCCTGAATCCAGGGTCTCATGGCCAAGACCTAAGAGAGAAGACACCACAGAACGTCTCATGTGGGTGGCTAATACCAAGGCAGATTATGTTGAACAAATTCAAGATCCCTGGCTCCTTTTTCACCGGAGAGGAAGAAGGGGGGAGGGGGGGTGGGAAGAGAAGTAAATAACTCAGTGTCACGTGAAACCACAACTGCTTTTCTGGATATGCACCTGCACCTCAAATCTCAATGGCCTTTGATTAAAACACTCCCCTTTCCTTACCTCATTATATCCTTCAAAAAGCCATTAATAAAATCCAAGATCCTTCCTTCTCTTGCTTCTCCCATCATAACAGTATTCTGCATGGTCTCTTTGGGGTGGATAGTAGCTTCCAAGCCGTTTTTAGCTATGGTGCATCACAAAAGCCTCCTTCCCTCGACGATTCTTTCTTAATATGCACACATACTACCCCAAGGCTGGAATCCTTCCCACCTTCTCAGGAGGGAATCAAATGACTTGACTGACCCTGAATGACTGACCCTTACTAGAAACTAGAAACAAAGTGCTCTATTGGTCCTTCTCTATTTTTGTGAGCCTTTCTCTGCAGGTCCTGGGGGTTATGGGGAAGTTTCTCTCAAAAGCCGGCTTCCTACTGCATTTATGGTAATACAAGTTTAAACTAATTCCACCCATCTCTGTTCTGAAAAGAGTCAAGTGGCTAGGCAGTATGAATTTCAGTGCAGAAAAAGCAGCTCTGTCTATGGGGAAATCCCTGACCCAGGCAGCCAAGCGTCTCTGCTAAGAGAATTGGCCCAGCGCTGGCTCCTACACCTGCCAGGCGGGTCTAGGCAGCTGAGGGCCTTGTGGCCACAGCTGGTCATGGCACCCAAGGAGCCACACTTCCTCCTCACACTGAGCCAGAAACACCATCATCAGTGCTACAGTCACACTGAGAGAGGGAATGGAGATCCCTGATTTAGAGGACAATTCTGCCTCATCTGTCGTAAGAATCCAATGTGTTTCGTAGGCAAATTAAGAATAATCACGTATCAGCTATTGTGAGAGCAAGGCAAAGCACAAAATGTCCCCTTGAGCAGTTTGGCCAGAAGTGATATATTATGAACAGAGGGGTTCAGAGGGATTCCCACGTCTGCCTAACAAACAACGGTACCCTACGAATGTGACTCTTTGGCACATGCAGAAGCCTCTCCTTCAGGCATGTCCCACAGCTCACTGGAAATGAACCAGGTTTGTGATTCATCACGGTTTTGCTTCTTGGAGATATAGCTCACTGCGTTACGGCCTAATGAGACATCAATGATTCCAGGAGCCTCCAGACTAAATAAGAGACTGTGGCTCCTGCTTGTTAACAAGGCTGCCACTCTAAAGGCAGAATGATAGTCTCTTTCTGAAATTCTGCTAGGCACAGCAGGAACCTTCACTTACTGAAAGCCACCTGGAAGCTAAAAGCTATTTCATTACAATGAGCCATTTGCCTGTATTGCTTAATTCCTTTTGCCTCTTCGTGGGAACACAATTTAGGGAACAAAGAGGGACCATTAAGCAGTTCATACAGTGTCAACTTAATACCACAGGCTTTACAGACAGGAATTTGGGTTCTTCAGGTTTACACACCCACAGCTATCCCTGAGCTGGAGCCCTGGAAAGCTGAGTCTGTAAGTGTTCTGGACACAGCAAGAGCACTCATATAGCCGCAGGCATGCTTCTCTGAAAGGTAGTTGACAGCTTGGATGCCCAGCCCATACTATCCTTTCTTCTCAAGCAGGACAGCTGATTACTTCCATGTGGAAAATCAGGCCCACTGGACCCACGTTCACTCTGTGCCTGCTCCCGGGCATGACAACTAGAAGCAAAAACCCAGCAAGTGCTAGAGCTGGGAGGGACCCGAACCATTACAGTCACAGCTAGAGAGCACCCAGCCCCAGCTCTTTCATTCTGCAGATGCCCAAACCCAGTTTCCAGAGAGGTCTAGGGACTTGCCCAAAGTTACACAGAGAGCAACCAGCAGAGGCAGGACCATAAAATTCACTTCCCCTGGTTCTGGACCAAGATGGTCTCATTTTTCCTGAGAAGGATGACTTTCCATCCAATCTGGAACTCTTTCCTTCCTTCAGATATCTTGTGAGAGTCCCCTGCTCACATCCAGACAACTTCTACAGGGATCTCTTCCTTAGTCCTGGCTCCTGCCAGCTGTGGGATTAAAATCTCATAATAAAGCAATAGACTGCTTTTCTTGGAGCCTTCCTAACTCCCACTCAAGAAGTGGATTGTCACAGTGAATATGGCAGTAACTGATTTTCAACAGAAAAGATTCTGCTTTTTACTCAATTATTCCTTAATCTTTTCTCCCCTTTCTTCTAGGGCTGGCAATAAACCAAAGCCAAAAAGCTGCATTCTCTGTTACATGGAAAGCAACATTTTTGCTGCAGAGAGAAGCTACTACCAGTCAGCACCTAACTGTGACCAACTGAATGACCGGCCGGGGTGTGGGCAGTTTTCTGGGAAGGGATACCATAGCAGCTGCAACTTCCCATGAAGGTTTCACACATCTGAACATAGAGAAGATCATGGTCAGTCTGATGTAGCTGGCAGCCCATTTGGTGGGGCAAAAACATCTCAACGCGTGTGTGCACGTGCATGTGTATGTGTTTAATTTCTTGAAGCCAGTTTCATGACCTGGTAGTTAATCTGATAAGCTCTTCTGGAGCCAGCTACACTCCGCTTCCCTCCAAGGTTTCTATGGGTCATCTCACAGTGACGAGCCTCAGGAACAGGACACAAACACTGAAGCAGATTGCCTGCCAAACAGAAGTCTAAACTATGATGAGCCAGCGCCTCCTAGGATATGAGATGTAGGGTAGTAAAGTTTTGGCGGTATAAGAAATAAAGATAGTGAAGATTAGAGTCCACTTTTGGAGAACATCTATTCATTCACACGACAAACAGAATCTGCCTTGATCGTCGCAAGGATAATGGCCCATATCACATCACCTCTGTATTTAGGTACTTAAAATCACTAAGTAAGCGAAGCCAGGGTTCTCATGGTCTTCTAACTTCTGACTGTCGTGGTCCAACTGCCCCAGAATTCCAGACTATTCAGAAGCAAGTCCTAGAAGTATCTCAGAGTCTCCCACCCAGGAGAGAAATGGAGATTTCTCCCCCTATCTCTTGAAACCGTTATTGACAAATTATACGCTCTAAAAAGCCCTGGGAGAATAGAAAGTCCTTGTTATCTAATATTTGTTTAAGAGCCTTGCTCTTATCCTTGGGTATTAGGAATTTTAATCCAAGTCCTTGTTAAAGAGGTGGCATAAGGCATTCATAGAGACCTAGCCCCAACTGAATATGCTCCATATTACCAGGTTTTCCCTTATAAAAGGAGAGTAATGAAGCAAATCTCTACATAAAAACATGCAGGGATTTGTTCCATGCATTTCTATCTTCTAGCAATGTATTATTACCCTAGAGGCTGTAATTCTAGAGACCTCTTACTTGAAACATGATAATAAGCATTTTGTAATTAAGGGATAGAAAAAAACAAGGACAGAATTTATACCTAGCATAAAAATCTTCCCCTATTTCCAACACTGACTTTTACATTCTTAAAAGTGCTTCCTTGTGTTTATACATTTTGTGAAACTAAAGCCATCCTTCTGCTTCCATGTGCTCGTATTAGATAAAAAAACCTGTCTCACAGGATGGTCTGTGGCAGTACAATAAAAAAGTTAACTCTGACTTCTAGCGATAAAGTAATGAGACTTAACTGACTAGTTTATATTACCTGATTTTTAAATGAAAGAACTACAGGGTATTGAACAAGCTATAAAATAACAAAATTACATAATACTTTGAATCAGTGGTGAATAAACATGGTCTCTGAATGGTGGCATGTATTAAAGGGACATTCTGAAAATGAAAGATCATGGAAAATATGATTTTCTTCATATAACTAACCCCATGAGAAGGTACAACTATTTGCCTCACGATAAGATTTCTTTTTTAAAAAGGTGGACTAGTCTTCTCAAATAACCTTCTTTCTTTGATTCCTCCCACCTCCATGAATCTTACTTCTCTTCTAATTGAGCCTTTATGACATTGCCCATGTTTGTCCTGGTGGATTCTTCATGTGAAATGAAGAAGGAAAATGTGAAAACAGAAAGACGACTTTTGGGGCAGAGTCACCAAAGCTTGCTAATATGACGCAGTCTACAGACAGTGATTAGGGGCAAAGTCTACGTTTTGGATCAAAAGATGACACAGGTACGAAAGCAGAAAGGCAAACTGTGTAGATACTGGAGCCAGGAGAACTGTGCGTGGTTTACTTTCAATGTGCAAGGCAGATGGGTAACTGGCCCGTCTGCCAGACAGCTCCATTAAAATTCTTTGCTTACTACTTAAGTGAGTTTGAAAGATCTTGTTCCAGATTACTGATGTGCACAATACAAATGTACTAATCCAAAGGGGCGCTAAGAGAATGAGAAAGCAGAGTCTTCTTTAAGCACACACTGATGGACCTTCCGAAACCTCGTGCTTCAGTGATGGCAATAAACCCTCAACCCTCTACCTCAGAAGCTGTCAATGGAAAATACTTCTTATCTATACGGTCTTCCTCCTCTTCATCAGGTGGTGGCTTTGCTGGAGGCGGTGGACGTTCCCTCTGCAGAAGAGAAAAAGTAAGTATTTCATGATCTCTTTTTTCAAGTACCTAACTTGTTGATTTATTCTTACCTTAGCCCTTGGAAATGAAAAAGAATAATGTAAAGAACTCCCCCGAGAGACTAAACTTAAGGATCAGTATTTAAACAGATAGCTTAGTCTTTGCACGTGCACACACACCCCACCCCCAGCACAAAATTCAGTCAGCACACTCCTTACTTTTTGATGTCTGTAGCAGAGATTATACACTTTTTTCATATTCTAGACCACAGTGAGAAATATCAGCACCGAAACCACACAACTGCCTAGCCAGAAAATGTCCTTCATAATACTAATAAAACTCTAGCCTAGGAAAACCAGTCAGCTGTCAGTCTATGTCAAAAAGAGGAAATAGTAAATCCAGAGAATCACCTTGTCAATGAGTTCTAACAAACCAAAGCTACCAAGGAAGTAATGAGGAAAGGAATCAAGGACAAAAACACCAATTCCTGCTCAAACTTTAATGCTACCCCCAATCTTTGGTTTATTCCCCAAAGCTCTGAACTGGTCTCTTATCCTTGGTCACCTCCTTCAATGATTACTATTATGTATCATTAGTATATGGAAACTTTATTTCTTTTTAAATTTTTTTTTTACTTAGAGAGAGAGAGAGAGAAAGAGCTGGGGGAGGGAGGGCGTGTGTACACACAGGAGAGATGCAGAGGGCGAGGGAGACAGAGAGGGAGAGGGAGAGGCCCGGCATGGAGCCTGACACAGGGCTCTATCTCACAACCAGAGATGATAACCTGAGCTGAAATCAAGAGTCGGATACTTTAACTGACTGAGCCACCCTGGCACCCCTGAAAACCCGATTTCATCTCAGCGCATTTAAAAAAGGAATATTTGTCAGTTACCTGTCCTAGAGCAAGGATTGGCAAGCTCCTTCTTAAAGGGCCTGACGGTAAATATTTTAGGCTTTCCAGTCAACCCTGCCATCGCAGTACAAAAGTAGCCATAGAAAACATGTAACAGAATGTGGCTGTGTTCCAATAAACCTTTATTCACAAAAATGGGCAGCTATGTGTGGGCCGTACTTTGCCAATCCCTACCCTAGAGCAAGAAACAGCCTGAAGCAGGGATCAGTTAGGTCGAGGGTAGACAATTTCAGAAACACATGCAATCTTTGGTGACAGAAAGCTGAAGAGAGGTTCGCCATTGTACCTGCAGTTACTGTCAGCATCGTTTATAGTGCAAAGTCCTAATCATGTTTCATAACCAACATTCCTACAGGGAAAGGAGTGGGAACCTGAAATGGGAACTGGCTTGCAGGCTCATTCCCTGGCTTGTACGTTAGTTCACTGTGTTGCTAGAACAGCAGTATTTTTTAAAAGTCAGAGTGGAGGCACATGCTGAATTACAGGAGAGTCTCAGAGAAGTCTGCACGATGTCTCCCACGTCTCAGGAGCCGCCAGGGTCAGTTAGCATTTGGCATCCATGATCTCTCTCCGTTAAAATGTGCTTCAGCACTTGGTATTCTACCTTCATAAATCAGTCATTCCTACAGTCCCTGGAACCAGATGGATGCCCAACGGCAACAACTTCAAAACAGGTTCGTATTTTCAAGCCAAACAAAGCTTTGAGATGAGATTTCCCACTGAGTCCTGCTTTCCCCACCCGTCTTTACTCCAGAAGTGCAGAAACAACCTTGGTCCCTTCCACGTGCCACCTTGTAGGGAGGGGAACAGCAAAAGGAGCAGGCCTGTAATCTACACCAATTATCCAACCTTGGGACAAAAATACCCGTGGAAAAACAAAATGATACACAACAACGACCAAAAGGACCCATCCTAGAGCCCTTCTCAAGACTAGAGGAGCCTAGAAAGGACGATACGAACACCTCTTGCACAAGAAGTGGTCACCAGGGACACTGGAAGAAAAGAGAGGGAGCAGCCTCTTTTTTCTAACGTGAAAACTTTGGCCCAGGGACCTGTAAGTACAGAGCTGATTTACACACCATCCACTGCATGTGTAAGATGCAGAACAGTCCCTTGGCCACAGTTAATTACCAAGGGCCAGGAAGGTAGTGGCACAGTCACCACATACTCAAGGAAAAATGGCAAAGCATGCACTCCAAGAGGCATCAGTTTCTACTTAGCAAGACCATCGATGGATACATTCCTAGAGTGGGATGGAACAAAGAGACTATAAATCAGTGGCTAAGCCCGCAGGAACTTGGTTATTCAAAGCTTTCTTCCCTAACCCTGTGTTCTTCTTGTAAAGCCTCTAGCTCCCTCTAATGGGCATCACCTGTAAGTGCCACAAAGCAATGCCTTCCTCCACAGGTGGATTTGCTTAATTCCTTGTACCTAAGGCGAAAGTGAGACCAACCAGCTCTGTCTACAGAAGCACCATGCCAGAGGTGCTTGGCATATGTGTGTGCTCCCACCATTCACAAGGAGTTGAATTAGCCCTTGATAATACCTACTACTCTGGTGGGCTACCACAAGACTGGTGGGCTTTTCCAAAATCCAAGCAGAAACGCTGGGACTATTCTAGGACCACTCTAGGAGCCTAATGAAAAAGACACTTAGAAGCATCAGGCCCATTCCCAGGGAACATCTGAAAAACCCAAAGAGCACCTAGGAGCCAAAGGCTCATCAAAATGGTCATAAGGCAAATTTACACCAAAAGGGAAAAGTCAGCCTCTCCAACAGGAAGAAATGATATACACCTGGAAATATGCCCCAAGCTGGGAATCACTGGGATTCTATTAGAGCAATGGCCAGTTTAGTAAAAGTGCGGTGCTCAAAACCTCAAATTATTGTGCCTGGCCATGTAGGAAGGAAGTTCCCATGGGACTGCTGATTGAGGCTTGGGCTCAGAGGAAAACTGTGACGGAGAAAAAGGTAATAAAAAAATTTTTTTGGGGGGGCGCCTGGGTGGCGCAGTCGGTTAAGCGTCCGACTTCAGCCAGGTCACGATCTCGCGGTCCGTGAGTTCGAGCCCCGCGTCAGGCTCTGGGCTGATGGCTCAGAGCCTGGAGCCTGTTTCCGATTCTGTGTCTCCCGCTCTCTCTGCCACCCCCACCCCCCCCCCCCCCCCCGCTATGTTCGGCCTCTCTCTGTCCCAAAAAAAATAAATAAACGTTGAAAAAAAAATTAAAAAAAAAATTTTTTTTTAAGAGACAGAGAGAGAGAGAGAGAGAGAGCGAGCGAGCAAGCAGGGGGAGGGTGGCCAGGGTGGGGTGGGGTGGGGAGAGAGAGAGAATAAGATTCTCAAGCAGGCTCCACACTCAGCATGGAGCCCGACATGGGGTTCAATCCCAAGACCCTGGGATCATGACTTGAGCCGAAATCACGAGGTGGACACTCAACCAACTGAGCCACCCAGGTGCCCCAGAATAAAAAGTCTTGAGAACAATGTACAAGAGTGGAAGCAGAAGTACCAGAGAAAGAAGCAGTAAGATGGCAAGGTGGACCTTGAGAAGAAAAGGCTGGGACAAATAGGAATGTCACATACTAACATATGTGATATCTGATTAAGTCTTGCTACAACCCTGCTGAGTGCAGAATCTGTCCAGGTCCAAATGGATAACGTGTCGATGGCAAATGGACGGTGGGAATGCACTCAGGGCAGGCAACAGCTTACTTCAGTGAGCTCTTTCACTGTGGAACTGCTCTCCAGAGAGAAAAGTAACAATATAGAGCAAAGACGCCGGGGACAGAAGCAGCAGTAGGCTATGCGGAAATAAAATGCTTCTAAGGCCAAAATGTGCTCTAAGGCCAAAAACTAATAGAATGATGCAAACATGTTACACGGAAAACCAAAATTCTACCTCAAGGCGATCTGTATAGTTAACCACACTAAGCAAAAGGAAGATGTGGCCAAGCCCGAGGAGAACAGGGGAGCAGGATGCAGGCCTCTGCCAAGGGAGCCGGCACTAGGGGCACCCTCCCTCTCCCCACGCCCCACCGAAGCACAGGAGGCCGACAACACAGCGCCCGTCTCGTTGCGGGGGCCCCGGGCCACATACAGGCCTCACTCCAGCAGCTTTCACTCCTGCTGCCTCGGCCTCCTTGCTCATGGAGTCCCGGTCAGACGATCGCCCACTGGCCATGCTGTCCAACGAATGGCAGGAGACAGCATTGTAGAGCGCCTCGTAGGGACCCTCCTCTTCAGCGTTTGTGTCAAAATCAATGATCAGTTCGGTCACTGCTTTCTCCACGTCACCTGAACAGGTTAGAGAGCAAGAGTCAATGGACGAGGGCACAATCTCAGATTTCCAACCACTACAACCACCCGGAGCCCCTCATCAACCTGAACTTGACAAACAATAACCAAAAGCAGAAAACTACTTTGCTCCACGGACAGAAGAGAAGCATGACAGTGTGTGTTAGAAAAGGGTCTCCTTGAGTTTCAGTTGCTCTTTATACCCTGACACTTACAAGAGACTTTTCTCTAATTCAACACGGCAAATCCTTGACATCTATGAGAGACACCTCTCAAGACCTTTATAAATTCCCAGAACCTCAATACCGTGATAGAATAAACTTAAACCATAAAATGTAGCAAAGTGTAACTGGAAACTTAAGTAATCCTTTAAATTCTTAATAGAAACCTCCCTGTGCTCAAGCAAAATAGAGGACCGTGAAGCCTTTCTGACACGGAGGCACTGTGCAAGGTTAAACTCACTCACCAGAGAACTACAAACCTCAGAGTACCTGGGATCTAAATTTGTGACTCTGAAAAATCACCTACTGTTATGGACCAGCGATCTCTGGGTCTCTGGCAAATAGTCAAATTGTAATCGTAAAATCCTTGAAGGCCAAGAGCTTAGTGAACTCCTAATCCCATTACTAGTGGATTATGAGGTCAAGAAACCAAGTGGGGGTGGTGGTGGAGGTGGGGGTAGCAAGGACTCCACAGTAGAGACAGGCTGAGCACCCTTTAACCTTATACCTCTGCTCTCCTCTGAAAAATCCCTTTCCCTTTTCAGTGTGTGGCTTTGTTCCGTTCCTCCAGCCTCCTGGCTTTCTTTACTGTGCTTGTATCTGAGGGAAGGTGTCAATCAGTACTTTGTCCTTCTCACTCATCACACCTAGGACCCAAAAGGCTGCTCAGTAAATCTGAGGAGGTGGATTGTAGCTAACGACGGAGAGGCTGGACTGTCTAGGGAGTGCCCACACCACATTTGTTGGCCAAGTGACATATTACCAAAATCTGCCGCGTCCACATCTACCAACCAGTTGATACTCGTTCAATATTTAACGTGGGCCAACTATGCTCAAAGCATGACAGTGTGTGTTAGAAAAGGGTTTCCGTGAGTTGTGAATTCACCTGGAGATCAAACCACCTACAACACATCCCAGAAGAGACCTCACAGAGCCAAGTGTAAAAGTGGAGAATCAAATAAAGTAGGAAAGAAGAGGTCCAAAGTCAAAGGCCTAAGCTATGTCCAGTAAAAGTTCATATACTAGCTGGAAAACAAGACATTTGGATACGAGCTTATTAAGTGCTCCCAACCCCCTGAAATTATTACTTAAATGAAGATGCTTTCATTTTACCAAAGCCCATTCAACTCTTCAAGCCGAGAGCACCTGCGCTGGCAGAGAAAAGCCACCTTACCCTGAGATTTCTGGGGTATGGAGTCCATACTGGAGATGACAGGTCCCTGGGATGTGGGGGTTCTATCTGCCTCTTTTGCGCTTCTTTTTCCAGTCATGTGATCTACACGGGAAGACAAAAAAAAAAAAAAAAAAGCTGCACCAAATACAAATGCTGTGGTTTGGCCAGTGTGTGCCCTGGTCGCCCCAACAGGCAGATGAACTGATACCTTCAATCAGTGCTGCTATCTGCTGGCTCTTTTGAGAAGGCAGTTCCCGGACGGTGTCTAGGGCAGTCAGTCCACGGTTATCTTTTATGTTGACATCAATTCCTAGAAAGGCATACCAGGTGGACCAGGGGAGTGAGCAGTTTCAAGTCAGCCTCAAAGAAGGTCAAATTCCAGGACACCCAATGCCCCGAGTAGCATGATCAACATTTTTCGTCCAAAGCTATTTAATCCAGCTATCCAAGAACACTTCGTACACTTGCAATCAATCAGTGGAGACAGACATACATTGGGTTTGAGTGCAGCCAGCAAAAATCCCCCTCTGGGGAGGCTACGGAGAAACGACCCCAACCCTGGCATGCTGTGTAAACAAGAGCGCTGCCGACCTCTCACCTGCAGCCAGCAGGATTTGCACCACATCGGTCTTGCCAAACAAAGCAGCCTCATGCAAAGCACTGCCCTTCTCCGTCTGGAAAGCAAACGAGAGCGCAGAGCAGCATGTCGTCAGAACAGTGACCCAGGTTTGGCGTGGCTCCACACGACAAACGGGACATGGACAAGAAGGGACGGGAAAATAAAATAAACCACACAAAGTTCTCTGTCATTATCTTTCCCACTTTTCTTGTCTGGATTCCGAAACCACAATCGTGGCCCATATGCAAAGTGTATCTGAAGTGCCACCATCAGGCCACACGTAAATAACTGCACAGCGACTCTTGGAGCCACCTATTGGTGAAATTCCTCAAAAGTCCACCTTCCCGGGTGGAAGGGATAATGAGAAGAAAAGTACATGGGGCAAAAAAACCACCTTAACTTCACACGTGGTTTGGTCAACGTGAAGCCTAAGGAACAGCCATTCAACCGAATGGAGAAAGCTAACACCACAGGGAAATGCTAAGTCTCCCGTTGGCAAGATCAAGTTGATGGGACTTTGCAGGAGGCAAGCGCTGGCAGTGGGAACACCTGTACAGGAAGATAATGAAATTTTTCTGATTTTCAGAGAGAGTCCACAAGCACATCTTTTCAGGGCATAATGACGAGATATTACCCCTGAAAAGAAAAAAAAAAAAAAAAAAAAAAAGATACCAGACTCACTTGAGGAGTCTGTCTCTGAAGTGTCACATCAGAATGAGTCAACAAATGGAAGCATCTGACACGTGGGGTGAAACGTGCTAAATAAGAACACAGCCCAGCAGCATGGTACTTGTGCCTTTTCCAAAATGACTAGGTCCCCTGGGCCCGGGGGTATGTCCGCCCCGCTACCTGGTAGTTGCTATCCATGCCGGCGTCCAGGAGGACCTGGACCACGGCTTTGTGGCCGTTCCTTGCTGCCAAGTGCAGGGGGGTGTGCTTCTTAGTGTTGCAGCTCAAGAGGTTGGGGTGCGCGTTCAGGAGCATCTTCACCACCTCCAGTCTCCCGTACAGCGCCGCCAGGTCCAGCGGTGTCTCAAATTTGTTGTTGCGCATGGTGGGGTCTGTTAGCTCCTCTAAGAGGACCTTCACCACCTCCGTGTGGCCGTACTGCGCTGCACAATGCAGGGCCGTCTCGTTGTCGTTGTTCTAAAGAGTTAACAAGCAGATCACATCAGAAAGGTAACTGGCTGACTGGCATACGACTGGGGCAATCACACGTAAAACCACTGAAGTTTAAATGAGAAAAACAGCAGCAATATTTGGGGACTATTAGGTGTCAGTCAGAACCCAGACGTACTCCCCAGCCAACAAGCCCGGCCGCTCCAATCAGCCACGTTGTGCCCCGGTGACTGCCAGAGGGGAGCTGTCACCTGCTCACGCGTACAGCCTCCTCGTGTGTGCCATGAAGGAGGGGTCTACAGATTGGAAGGAGAGTGAACTAGGGCGTGTGGAGGGCCTCGGGCAGATGCCCTGGCGCCCGTGAATACCAACCATATCACTGCCATTGACTCATTCTAAACTTCAACTGGTTTTACAGTTTATGTTCAGTCAACCCTGTAGTTCGGATTCTGGATTCGTTGATATCCACTGCCTTACAAACAAGCTTTTTTGGAAGAGCTTGTCATCTGCATAGCTCCTTGCATGCAAATCAACCAGCCAACGATCACAGTAACAGAGCAGAGCACCAAAAATCACTCTCAAGGTATCAGCCAACAGCCATTTCCAGGGGAGGGAGGCACTTGAGCTCAGTCCCAGAGGAACATGGGGCCCGATGTCGCCCTGTGCCTGTGCCTACTCCAGGAGCCTGCACCAATCAAAGCATGCGGAATCTACAGTGCAGGGAAGTATTTCTCATGTCAGAAAGATTCAATCAGGCCCCGGAATATTTTGTGAGAGGTGCAAAATATTCAAAGTTGTAACATGGCCGTCCAAACTCACAACCCCCATGGTCCTTTAATGCCAATTTTGTGTCAAACTAAAGGTAGAACCTGGGATGAAACGGGAGAAGTCTGTGCTTCATCGATCAGGAGAAGCAAAATGTTAATCATTCCAATTGTGCTTTTTCTTTTACCACTACTGACAATATATAAGTAGAGCGGGAATAAAGTAATTTCCGTGACCTCTCCTTTTTTAGATGCACTAATAAAATAATTCTCCCACAAGATTTTGAGATTCCTAAATTTATCCAGGAGGCTGCTGCCACCTTAGGGAAACAAAGCTTATGAGGTGGGTGTCCAGTAAGTCAATATTGTGCACCTTTCAGTGATCAAAAGGTAAAAACGAAATGTTTCCACAACTTCTTTAATTCTATTAATTACATTAAAAGTAACAGACCAGGAGTTACCCAAACACGCATGCAATTCCATCTGCTTTTGATCTGGCATTTGACTGCATCATTTTTTCCAGCTACGCCAAGTGTACCAGAAAGATCCAGAGGTGCTGGGACTGAGGCCCCAAAGGGCCAGAATGATAGCAAAGAAAAATTTTTTAATGCAATAAGGACAGATAAGGTGATAGCAGGAGGCACATGCAAAGATAAATGCACACAGATAAACAGAAGAAGCAGCACTGAGCTCAAACACGGCTCAAGGAGATTAGCAGCTGAGTGCAGACAGCCTTCACTGGCCACAGGACACAGCCCGTTAGCAATGGTCTCCTGTGATATAACTGCGCCCAAGGGGCAGATTCCACGTCAACCTAAAAGTCTGGAGGGAAGGGGAAAGCGGGCAGACAGCCCATCTTTGGGGTTCCTGGTGACAACCGGTCACTAAGACACCCCATTTGGAGTGCCCGTTTCCGACTGAGCGTGAGGCCCTGAGCCAACTTAGAGCTGTCGCTTCACTTTCTCAGGATGAAAGGCAGCTACATCTACAAAATGCACAGGAGCTTTCTTTTCAGTGGTTCCAGAGCAGAGTGGCAACCCAAAGAAGCTTTAGGAGGATTCGCAGGGTTTTACATCTCAAGATTACCATGACAGCAGGGCCAAGAAAGTCCGCTTATTCTTATTAAAACTCCAATCCAGAAAAATGTGTTTACTCTGAAGCAGACACTGCTGTCTCTTTTACATCCAAGTTGTCTCCCAACAAGCAGAATAATCTGTCCTCAATTTTGTAAAGAGTATGCCATTAGAGCCTGAAGAACTCTAAGATTCTAAACTATCCAGCAGGAGGAAAAAAGAAAATCTGTTTGTTTGTTTTTTTTTCAATTTTTTTTCGCTAGCGCTAAGGCAGCTACCACAAAGCTGCCTTACTGAAAGCAAGGTCTTGATCACTACCAAGCAAATTTCCTGCCTCTGTTAAAAATGGCCTAACCACATCTCTGCACAGTGTCATACTCAAATTCACACTGTAGAAAGCATCTTACTCATGCCTCAGTCTTGCCCGACACGGTCTGGTAACCATAATGCTCTTCAAGTCTGTGGTTACCCCATCTCTTGACTAGTGAACACAGGCCATCACAATGAGCTCTTCCTACCGTTTCCCTTTTGAGCCCAACAACTTTCAGGGCTGAAAGTCATTAAGTGTTGATTCATGGACCCCTAAGAAAGGGAGGGATTCCAAAGGAGAGCACAGACTCCTAAAGACCTGGAATCCTTCTCTTTCACACTTGGAGCATCTCACACACTCAAGAGTTCCCAGAATCCTGTTACTATGTATTTGGACTGAGAAAGGAGACTAAGATCAAACACCCCAATTTTCCCCCAAAGTCTTTGCACAAACTCTCCATTCCTGCCCATCTTGAGACTCATTCTCATTTCCCCTTGCTATACTCAGTATCTCTAAGAAAAAAGATCCCAATACCCTTTACCTATGGAGACCCCGTTTAATGTATAAATCCACTATATTTATGTGCCATCTACATAACATACACATAAACTACAAGCAGCAGAAAACTATATAGAAACATTTCCATGGCTTTTCTCCTCTTGAACTATTCCAAGCCATCACTTCCCAGTGCTTAGACTACAGCCCAACTGTACTCTTGTCCATGGTTGATAGATACTTAAGTTAGAAACACCTAAGCTTCAGCTCTCCATAGCAACTATGGTATAGGTCCCAGAAATAGACCAAAATTGGAACAGAAGGACAAACTGAGCCTACTGAGATTTAGAAGACACAGGACAAACATGAGAATTGAGTCCTCATGGAAGAAGAGCTAGGTTTACTCTGTAGTGCTCTGGAAGGCAGAACTCTGACAGACGGATGGAAGGTTTAGGAAGACAGTTATCAGCCAAGCATAAGAAACCAAACATCAGTGGCATCCAAAAAGAGGCAGCCAAGTAGTAAGTCTGTTACCAAGAGAAACATACAAACAAACAAATAAAACAAGGGGTAGATGACTCATCTTTCAGGTGAGAGAAAAGGATTTCTGCTCTGGATGGCAAGTTGGCCTAGATCAGGGCTTCTCCAACTGGCTTCGTTCTGGAATTACATGGGAGCTTAGAAGTAACTAAGTCCCACCCCAGACTTGCCAAGGTAGCACCTCGGAGGGTAAAGCCGAGGAAACTATTATTAAAAAGCTTACCAACCTAGCAGGTGGCAACTTGACCAAGCAATCATCTATCATCATAAAAAGTGAGATAAACTGACACCATGCGCCTTGTGACGTGAAGCACTACAAAGGAAAGAATATAACATCACTCCTGTGGCATTCCTGCTAAAACTGTATATAGCTTGAATCTAGTCATGAGGAAATAGGAGACAAATGAAAATTGAGGGAAAGTCTACAAAATGACTGGTCTATATTCTTCAGAACTGTCAATGTCACACAGGTCTCTGGGCAATGGGTTAGTGTGTTCGGCTATTAACTAAAAGGTAGGTGCTTTGGTCCCACCCAGGGATGTAATGTTTGCGGTTAAAAAAAAGTCCATGTCGCGAAAGGCTAAGAAGGACTGAGGCATTGTTCCAGATTATGTATGATCCTGGACTGGATCCTGGAGCAGGAAAAAAAATTGCTGTAAAGGACATTATTGAGGGAACTGGTGAAATATGAACACAGATTCAGTATCAGATACCATGATTGTATCGATGTTGAATTTGCTGAATTTAACAACTGTACTGTGGTTATACAAGTGAATGCCCTTATTTTTTTAGGAAATACAGGCTGAAGTATGTGGGGTTAAAGGGTCATGATGTCCATGACTAAATATCAACTCATCAACTACAGCAACAATATACATATATATTTGAGAGACAGAAAATGTGCATGCAAATGTGACAAAATGTTAAAAATTGGTGAATTTAGCTGAGGAGTATAATGCAGCTTGTGGCAATGTTTTATAAGTTGAAATGTTTTTTCAAGACAAAAAGTTTTCTAAAAGCTTGCTAGGTGATTCAGATGCAATCAGACAAGCTGATCAGAATGTGAAGACAACTGGTCGAGACAACTTCCGGGTCTCTTCCGGCTCTAAAACTCAATTATTTTTAAGTGTACAGAAAAACAGACCTATCCTAAAACTAATTTGACTGTTGCTCACCTTATGATACTCAGATTAAGTTAAAGTTGCTTTAAAAGGAGCAAATGAACAATTTTAATAGTTCTACCTGCTAAGGATGACCTACATTCTGGACTGGTTTATGCTGACTTGCTGAAAAAGGAAAGGCTCCCTATGTCGAAGAGGAAGATGAAACCTCATGAAAACTACCTCTGCTCCCAGGAAAGGCACCTGAGACTTCTTAATTTCTACAGGTGTCTGATGAGACTTCGCACACAAATGTACTTCCACAAAACAATTCCCAGACACAATCCAGGTCAATAAAAACCCACTGAACCAGGAAAAGAGCCAGGGAGGTTAGATTTAAACTAGCTCAAGGAGAGTTTGCATTCGTAGCAAACCCCAAACAGCTTTATCCCTTAATGAAGTACACATCATTTGGCCCTTGGGTGGGGTGGGGGGGGGGGGGAGGGAGGCAAAGGCCAGTATTTCCAAAAAGAGAAGTTATGTTCTTATTCCATTTAGACCAATTTTCTTTTATGTGTGGGAAATCAAGGGATAAGAAAATGTGCTTTCAAGAACCAAAGACTTACCCTTTAATCAGAGCTTTATAAAAGCTAACTGAACTAACCACTGGGTGGGAAAACGGTCACTTCAAGGTGCCTCACCACAAGACAAAACCCTGAAGAGACTGAGTGAGGTTTCATTAAGCATCAATCCATGAGTAACAAAGAATGAATTCCAAAGTGCCGTTTCAGAATATTACTAGTTACCAGATAGTTTTACTCAGTATACATTATCTTAAACTCCAAAACAATCCAGCAAGGTAGATGGTACACCCGACTTTACAGAAGAGGACACTGAGACTCACAGAAATTAAGTAACTTATTTAAGTCAACAAAACCAGTAAGTGGCAGCACGGAATTCAAAGTCAGGTCTGACTTGAAAGATTATGACCTTGACCCTTCAGAGTTTTCTCTACTATACCATGTCCAAAACAAGAAGAAAACTATGATAGGGCACCTTCCTATTTTGAAAATTAGAAAGCAGAATTTAGAGACAGTGGGCCAAACAAAAGCTAAGGTGTTCCACTACCCCAGATCAAATGCTGCTTCTCCACCATCAAGGTCCAACAGCTGAAGAAAATGGCCTATAGAGGCTGCCTGGATCCAGCCCACAGGGAGCTTTGTTTGCTAAATCAGTATTTCTCAAAGAATATCTGCCTTGCATTGGAAATGTACAGAAGGACCTTGTGTTTCCCTTCCCTGAGGCTATTGTATTCAGATCAAGTGAAAGGCAGCTACTGTGAATAATGCACTGACTCAACCAAACTCCAGACTGATGCCAAAAAGCAAACCTCACCTGAACGAATGAAAACTCGGCTCAAAACCAGCAGGTGAGAGCACGGAGAGAGGCTCACCATCACCAACCCACAAGCTCCGCCTCCCGAAGTGGTGAGGGCTGGAGGGGCGAGGCAGTTCATCACCAAGCATACCGAACCATTACTCGCCCCGGCCTCACAGGAGGGAGACTCGAGGCCAATGTCCTGCTTAGCCCTGCGACTTCATTTCCTATTTTGGAGCCCTTCCAACAGCCAAGAATGACCAAGCAGCGAGAGAAGCTAATGGCTGGGGAGAAGCAACTGAGGCTTTAAAGTCCCAGGCAGAAATGCACAAACTCAAGGAAACGAGGAAGGAGTTGCGATAGCTTTTAAGAGTAAAATGGAGTCACTGTGCCCCTGTCCCCAACATCTCCACTACCAGCTACTGAAAATGAGATTCCACTTCAAAGCAAAGAGAGAAAACAGACTGAAAATTTTTTTCATCTAACAAGTACAATTTAATCATTTTCTGTGCTTCTTATAAAGTAAGCTAATGTATTTGACATCTTGTCATTGAATTTTGAATTCATTTTTGAATTTAAATGATTTTAGCAATCACAATGATGAATTATGCATATAATATGGTTCCTTCTATTTTCCCATTTTGGCCATTTCTAAGCTTTTCAGACATTCCGGGAAAATCACCCAACCTTTCCAGAATTAGCATGGGTTTTAAAAATAAAACCAAAACCCACTGAAGTTGCAATTTCCCATTCCCAGACAAGCCAAAAGCAGATGGGCTGAAGCAGACAAAGTCAGGGAGACGATGAGGAGCCTGAGTGGATAAGAGTGGAAGCCAGAGAGGACCAAAGAGGGGGTGCAGCTTGGAGAAATGATGCAGAGAAATCCTGGCAGCAAAGTACACACCTTGGCATTGATATAAGGGTCAAAGGGGCCGTACTTTTTGAATTCTTTGATCTCAAGAGCATTCTATAAAAAGGAGAGGAAAAGAAAATGTGATGATAAAGTGGATGAAATACATCAAAGCAATGCCCAGCCCTGAGGGGGCCCAACACAAGAACAACCTGGATGTGCCTTCTGGGTGCTTGGAAAGGAAGTTAATGGGGAAGGCAGCCTTAAGGGCACAGCACACATCACCCCCTCTTATCCAAGCAACCAACTGGAACCACATTAATGGCTTTTAAATAAATCAATGTGGTACTATGACCCAGATCCATTAGGTCCTTCAAGCTACTGCAGACATCTTGCCCAATCCCTGCCCCACCCACCTGCCTGCCAGATACTCAAAACACCAGGCTGGTGTCCCACCTATCAACGGATACTCCAGGCGGGGGGCAGCTGTGAGCAGGACAAGCTAGCACACTCAAGTGGCTCAAAAATCCAAGCAGCTGTGTTCCAAGGCAAAAGTGAGCAAAGACAGGATTAGAAATGGTTGCCGAAAATTTCTTAAATGAGAAGGACTTTAATGGGTGACTAGATTTTTCAACATTGAGGAATATTAGTTAAAAGCAAACTTCCTGGGGCGCCTGGGTGGCGCAGTCGGTTAAGCGTCCGACTTCAGCCAGGTCACGATCTCGAGGTCCGGGAGTTCGAGCCCCGTGTCAGGCTCTGGGCTGATGGCTCAGAGCCTGGAGCCTGTTTCCGATTCTGTGTCTCCCTCTCTCTCTGCCCCTCCCCCGTTCATGCTCTGTCTCTCTCTGTCCCAAAAATAAATAAACGTTGGGAAAAAAAAAAAAAAAAAGCAAACTTCCTTGTAAATTTCCTCCAGATAAGAGAAATTACAATCACTTTAGCCAGGAGGAGTAAAACTGCATTTAGCTTCTAAAGAGGCAATTCTAGAGACAATTTTCATTCCTAATGTTAGAAAACAAACATCCTCATTGATGATCTTAAATTTCTGTTGCTCACCTATCCAGAAAATTTAGCCTAAAAGGGGAAAGGGAAGCTGATGAACAGCTACACACGTGCAATCTCCAAATTGAGAGATTTGAGAGCATCGCTTTAATTTTCTCAAACCTCAGAGTGGAGCCGCCCTTCTCTGAGTCGAAGTCAAGCTCTTAACAGCTCCCTGAGAATATGCAGAGCTTTGCTGATAGGCTCGCAAGAATGGTTTCTTATTTTTTGAGGAACAACCCTGATCTAATTCTATAGGTAATTTAACAACCTCCTCTCAGCAAAGTCATTAGGCAAATAGTCCTGAGCTTCCTGAGAGGAGTAGCATCTCTCCCATTCAAGCAACCAGGAAAAGAACGTGCTTCAGTTCAGAGCAGACAGGAAACCAGAATGGCTTGTCACACAGGGAAAGCCTGTCTCCTCTCAAATGGACACACACTCTCACATCCAAACTACAAGAAACAGTATTTTATGAGAGGATTGTCTAGAACTTGCATAATGCAAGTATAATTTTTTTATTTTCTAAGAATGATCTCTGCTTTGTCAAAGCATGGTCACTCTTAAATCCACATTATGGGACCTCATGTAACTAGTTTTCATTCTGTTGAATCACCTCTGACCTCCACTCAGATGTTTTTGTGAGCTCCTTTTTCAGCACCGGCACGAGGCCTTCCACCTCTGCCAGTTCTGATGTAGGTAAAACAGCAGCCAGGTTCACACAGTACTGAAGCATACGCGGCAGACTGCTGTGTACCGGCTAGAGTTGCACTGCCATGTTGATGGCATAAGCACAACTCATAATTAACTGAGCCTGCCAGTTTGGAATGGCCTCGAAACAATTTCGCAGGATTTGCATTATTTCCGATTTTGCACAGGAGGTGTTTAGATTTTTATTTTTATAGCACTACACCAAATCTGCACGTTCAAAAGCGTGTAAAGTACATCCTCGGGGGTGTAAGATCCCCCTGATGCATTGGGAGAAGTGGTGCTGGCAGGAGGGGAACCATTTGTGGGGCCTGGAAGAGCTGGTTGCCTGAGCTGTACACACTATGGAACTGAAACAGTGCTGGGGCCAACGTTGGGCTGTAGCTGAATGGAAGAAGCTTCTCTTCCTTCCGACCTGCTCATTGACTCTGGTGTGTGAGGGCCCTTGATGGATGAGCAACCGCACTATCTGGGCATCTCCTTTCCAGGCTGCCAAGTGCAGAGGGTAACAGCCTTTAGAATCGGCCACGTTGGTCAGCGCGTCGTTCCTCAGAAGAACCTCAACCACATCCCTAGAAGGCAAAAATCAATCATGAGTTTGCAGAACCAACAGCTCTTTACATTTGTGCAGCACAAAGCCCTTTCACAGATATTCTCTCACGTGGCTGCCCTCTCTCTACCTGAGCTCATCACCCAGTCTCTTCCTTTTATGCCATGAGCTACTTGTACAGCTGCTGATACGAGGCTGAAACACCTTCAGCTGAACTACAATGACTCATCACCTCCCCATCTATCTAGGCTTTCTAGACAATCCACCTATACTCCATTATTCTGAAAACATCTGGCCCCATTGTCTAATAAACCTTGCAATGTTTCCTTGTTTGTGATGTTTAAACAGCATTCGGGGATAAAATTTACATAAAAGTAGTCGTGCAAGACAAATATCATTATTCACATTATTCAGAGCATTTAGTGATGTGGGAGCTAAAAGCAGACAGGCAGAGCAGAATTAAAGTTGTTGTGAACATAAGCCAGACACATCTGGTATCATTTGATACGTCAAAGAAGAAGGACTTGGCTTACTTCTTGGTGACACTGTTAATCAAGCTGATGCAAATGCAGAATTACCCCCATGCACACGAGGTCAAAGAAAACCCCCACTGTAAATAACAACGGCATCTGGAGTGAAACTTGGCTAACAAGTTGCAGTCACTTAAGTTCAAGATTCACTTTAATTCAGGTCACCCCACTAGTTATGGGGGCAGGGGGTTCCACAGAGTTACTGTCAGCTTTGTCTAAGACAGCTACAGAAAAGACATAATGATCACGTTCAATATACTTTAGAAAAGTGTAATGTACAAGGGAACGATCATCACCTGTTTTTGGCACATCAGAGTCAATTAGGCTGGGCCAAATATCACACAGGTGTTACAGAATCCCTCAAGGTGGTGAGGGCCCTGCTCCTTGCTCAGCAAAATCTAAAATGGTTCCAATAATCCCTCCTCATAAAAACTGAACCTCTACTTCTTATCTCCTGGAGTATGAAGCCTCAGAATCTCTATAACACCCTCTGTTCTGTTACACTTTGGTTTCCATTCTTCCACATCCTGGCCGATCTACTCACTGCATCCACTACTGTGCCTGCCCCGGGGCTGAGCCGTCACATTCTCTCTCACTTGAAAGGCAGTGCCCTCAGGGAAAGGCTGCCAAACCATTTGAACCTATGTCATCTTCTCTCAGACTCCCCCTGAAGCACAGCTTCTCCATAAAACCTGCTGCACAAACCCTCCCCTCAACAACTACTACCAATACCTAAGAGAATTAAGTAGGCCATATGGTTTATGTACCTTTCCCCTTAAGAATGGTTCCTGTTGTCTACCAGGCCTACTTTATGAGGCAAGAATGGCAGGCAAGAAGACAGAGTAAATAAATAACTAACTCCTTTAGCAGAAGGGACCAGCCAATCTATTTTCAGTTTACAAAGGTACTGGTTACCTAACAGATTACCCAGCCCCTTTATGACCTGGCTGCCCCAAATGTGACCCTCATATTCAGGTCATTGTGTGGGACTGCACCATTTCAAAACAGAAAAGGACAAAGAGCAGAAAAAGGTAAAACTTAACCTTTGGTTGGAGTTTTTTGGGGGTGGAGTAGAGAAGGATGCCTAAATTATACACTGAAGAGAGACTTGGGAATTCTGGATACACTAAATTTAGTTTGTTTTTCCCTGTTCCTCAACACTACGGCTTAGTGATCCTTTATAGGAATCAAAAAAGACAATCCGAAAGCCTGGGTTCTGAAGGGTCGGGTAGGAATGTAGCAAAAAATACTTACTTATGGCCATTCAAAGCAGCATGGTGTAGAGGTGTGTACCCAGTGCTGTCAACACAGTTCACGTTTGGCCCCCTCCAGATGCTATAGAGGAAGTAAAGGGGAAAAAAAAAAAGTTTAGAGCCAGCTAGCTACTTAGAAAATAATTCTCTGTGGTGTTTAACCAAACTAGTTACAGTCACATGATTCCCAATAAAGGACAGAGGCTATTTACGCAGAAGTGAACAGCACTGAGGACACACGATCATTTGCAGAGTCAGGTGTCAAAACAACAGTGTCATCATTTAAGAGCTTGCTCTTCTGTACCCTTCTCATCATTTTTACTTTTATTATTTTTTAAAATTGAATCCATTTTCTCTTCCGGCATATGTTTGAACTCTGCTCTATGATAAGTCATTTCTGCTCTATGATAAGTCATTGAAGTGTTACTTTTTTTTTTGAAGTAAACTCTATTCCCAACCTGGGGCTTGAACACACAACCCCAAGAGCAAGAGTCTCATGCTCTACCAACTAAGCCAGCCAGGTGCCCCATGTACCCTTCTCACGTTTAACTACATTATTCACATAGTCTGGGAATCATGCCTCTGAATACTTCCAGGATTGTAAGAACAGTTCATTAAAAGGCCATCAAAAGTATCACTGAACCAACCATTCAGCCAGTCAGAGGTACTGGACACCCACCTCTAAGCTGGTGACTGAAGACTCAAGACTGACTCAACACAGACCTACGGATAATCCAGATGAATTAACCAGCAAGAACCAAGATGAAAGAACCCACATTAATAATATAAGCACCAAGACACATGTGTTAAGACACAAGAGACAACTGGTCTTTCCTTTGTGAAGGTCTTATTGCTAAAAAGAATAACAACAACAAAATCTGTAATGTGAATGCCTTATTTGAATCAGAAATACTGCACTAGGAAGGCTGCAATGTCATCTTACTTAATCCTCAAAGTCTTAATTCGTACTTCTGTTTCACACCTTACTCCACTGGCCAGAGCTACTAAAATAATATTAAGTAGTAGAGGGCTGCCTTGTTTTGTCCTTGCTTTTAATGAGAATGCCTCTATCGTTGGTAGTCTGTATGAGGTAAACACTCTAACATGTAAAGGAAGTATCTTTTTTTTTTCCTTCTAAAAATGTTATTAAAAATAGTTGTTTAGGGCCACCTGGCTGGCTCAGTTGGTGGAGCATGCAGCTCTTGATCTCGGGGTTGTGAGTTCGAGACCTATGTTGGGTGCAGAGATTACTTTAAAAAAAACATTTTTTTTTTTAAATAACTTTAATTTAAATGCATTTTCTGCATCGGTGAAAATAATCACAGTTTTTCACATTTAACCAACTAATATGTTATTATCAATATGTTTCCTAATAATGAGCCTTTCTTTCATTTCTGCAATAAAACTTACTTGGCCATTATCCATTATGTCCATCTTAGTGAACTGTACTTAAGAGTATCTACTTGAGACTATTTTACTTAGGATTTTCACAACTGCATGCATAAATGAGGCTGATCTAAAGTTTCTGCTTTTTGCGTTATTCCTACTAGATGGGACAGGTGTTAGGCTTGGCTCACAGATCAGCTGGGCAGCTATTTACCCACTTCTGTATTTAGGAATCACTGGCATAGAGCACTAAAATGATAAAGAATCACCAGTAAAACCATCCGGGCCCAAAGACTTTATGCTCAGATGTTGGAGGCTGCATTACTTATAACAATAAAATTTTGGAAATAGCCCAACAGTCTATCAATAGAGAAATGATTATGATGAAGAACTACAGTACAGAGTAGAACACCATATTTATATGCTTATATTGCTATGTAATAAGAAAAGAGATGAGGGGCGCCTGGGTGGCTCAGTCGGTTAAGCATCCGACTTCGGCTCAGGTCATGATCTCACAGTTCGTGAGTTCAAGCCCCACGTCGGGCTCTGTGCTGACAGCTCAGAGCCTGGAGCCTGCTTCGGGTTCTGTGTCTCCCTCTCTCTCTGACCCTCCCCTGCTCATGCTCTGTCTCTGTCTCAAAAATAAATAAAACATTTAAAAAAATTAAAAAAAAAAGAAAAGAGATGATAGTATAATGTTAAAGACAGAAAAAGAAACAAAGTGGTTAATACTGTATAGAAAGAATCTATAAGCGAAACTAATCAGGATAGTGGATTCAATGCATAAGTTTACTCCATCTCCTGTCTAAAGTTCTATGAAGTACAGAAACGAGTCCTACCCCTACACCACAGACGGGTAATAGACAAACAGAGTCAGACAAGAAAATAAGAAAAGATTCATCAAGTAACTGACAATGTTGAGAATTCCTAAAAAGCAGAAATCAGACAAGGTCAGCTCTACAGAGGCAGAGCCTGGAAGAATGAAATTAAAATAATCACACACTGGGGTGTCTGGCTGGCTTGGTCAGGGGAGCATGCGACCCTTGATCTTGGGGCTGTGAGTTCAAGCCCCACACTGGGTGCAGAGATTACTTAAAAATAAAATTTTTTGAAATAAAAGAAAGTAAAATAAACATACACTACTTTTCGCCAATCAGACTGACAAAAATGAAAACAAAGTGTTTATAAAGATCAGGAAAACAAGCACTCTTCTATACCACTGGTATGAGTTTGAATTGGTGAATTCCTTCGGGAAGACAATTGGCAGGATCCACCAAACCAAAAATAGGCATTCACTCTGAGCCAGCATTTCCACTTCCTGGCAACCATTCAACAGAAACACTTGTACACATGCACAAAGACACATGCTTGTACAGGACTCTGCTTCACCACCAGAGCAAAAACTAAAAACTTCATGTCCATCAGTAGGTGGGCAGTTAAATCTCAGGTGTGCCCATACGAAGAATTATATAACCATTAACAGTAACAACAAAGGAAAGAAAACAAGTTGGACCGAAGTGTCCTCACATGGAAAGATTTCCCAAGATACACTGTGTTAGGGGAATGTGAAAAAAAAGAAGGCATCGTGTAGTACACAAAACATGAGCCCCTGCTTTAGCAATGTGTATGTACACGTACACACGATGGATGGTGATGTGAAGAGGGCTCGCCAAGTGTTGACAGTGGTTCCCTCTGGGAAAGGAAATGTGTGCTGGGGGAACCTACAGGTGATGAGGAGGGACTCTCACATTCTGCTCTGTATTCTACCACACTGTTTAAAACCCAATGAGAATGCATTCATGTATTTTTATAATAATTTTTTAAAAGAAAGAGGGGAAAGAATCTATGCATAGGGAAAAGAAAACCAAGAAAAACATCCAACTGTTAATGATAAACGGTTGAACATATGTGATCTGGGCCGTTTGAATGGGCATGTCTATATTAGGTTTAAAGCCTTGAGATACATTTTCAGTGAAAAGAGAAGATACACATGCTTTGATATCTAAGTTATTTGTTCGTTGTCAATTAAGGATGCTGTGACAAGGTCAGGAGCCTGAGGTACATCCTGGTAACCCCCATCCTCCATTAAGCTTGGATTCCTACAGGAACTTCCAAACAAAGAGTTAAAAGCAATCATACCTCTTTGTCACCCATGTACGATAACCTTATTTTCTAAACCGAAAACTGTATGCCTATGCCTGACAACGGTGAGTACGGCAGTAAATGAAATGGGTCTGGAAAACCTAAGAGGTATGGTTTTCATACTTATTTTCAAACTGACCCCCCAGACAACACATCATCATTCCATTAAAACACAGGTGACACCTAAGAATCAAAAAACAACTCGTTTGCCCCAAATCAGTGGCAGATCCAAAACTCCCATTTATAGAGTTCTTGCCATTTGGCCAAACAAGGACTTGACGATCTAACTGGGATGACAGGATGAGGTAAAGATGCATCAGTACAAGGCTGGAATAATAATCTGACAGCAAGACGACCGGAATAAAGCAACAGGGCTAGAAAAAAGAAAATACCAATAATGGGCCACGCAGTCAGGAGCACAGGTTTGGCAGCTCCTCAGACCCCCTCAGGAATGTGCCAGCTCATTCCAACGATCTCAATCCAGGTCCTGAAGTGACCTGAGAACTAAGCTTTAAACTGCCCTTGCTTTAAAAAAAAATGTTTTTTTGAATATTTATTTTTGAAGGAGAGAGAGACAGAGTGTGAGCAGGGGGGAAGCAGAGAGAAAGGGAGACACAGAATCCAAAGTGGGCTCCAGGCTCTGAGCTGTCAGCACAGAGCCCGACGTGGGGCTCGAACTCACAAACTGTGAGATCATGACCTGAGCCGAGGTCGGACGCTTAACTAACTGAGCCACCCGGGTGCCCCAAAACTGCCCTCCCTTTCAGCAAAAAAGGCAGGACTGAGCATGCTCTTTCTCTTTCTAACTTTTACCTCTATGTCTCTGGTTTAGAGGTGATTAAGCTTGGGTGTCCTATACTAGCACTAGAACTCCCTCAACACGATTTAAGAAGACAAGGAAGAAAGATAAGGACTTTCCTGCATTCAGCGGCAACATTTCCAACTAGTAAGGTCTTCCGCCCCTCCCCTGTTTTTTCTCTAACTAGCATTTTGTCTAAATGCCCATCTAGAAATCTGAGGAGATGGGGGCTATATTAAATAAAACCTAAATGAAAACAGAGAACTGTAATCTCTCTGCTTAGAATTTTAGCTTCAAACAGGATGGTAACATCCCCCTCCACCCAAGTGTCTTCCTTTTTGGCAGCCCAAGAAAAGAGCTATTTACAATCTGGGTCTTCCTCTCTATCACAGCTGTCCTGTTAGGTTTTTCTAAGACATTAAGTACCAAAGGGCTGCTCACCAACAAACAAAGGCAAAATAAAACACGCCAAGAAAACCAGAGGGGGCGAAAAACGGTCCAGGAGATTCTTAAAGTTTAACCTATATAGATCGTACAGAAATGCAATGGCTGCCTTCGACTTGTAGAACAAACCGTCGCAGTATCCTTGATGGGTCTTAGAGGAGTCCTAGCAATCCGGCATGAAGCAACTGCACAACCCAGGTGAAAAGCTGAGGCTCCATAGTTAGCCCACCTAAGTTATTCAAAACTTGCCTCTACCACTGCCAGTTGCAATGACAAGTCACTTAATTCTCCAGATCTTTCTCTGCATCTGTAAATTCTACTGTGATAGGCTCCTCAGGGCTTAAATGGCTCATGGAAACTAGAACTAAACTGGTTTGAACCAGTTTAAGTGCATTAGGGTTGAGAAGCCTAAGACGTGTCACAGCAACCCAACCACATGGACATGATGCCAGAGCACAGCAAGCCTTGCCTTCTGTGACTCAGAAACACCCAAATTGGAGATGGCATCTCAAGACATTGGAAGGGCGCCTGGCTGGCTCAGTCCGAAGAGCATGCGACTCTTGATCTCAGGGGTTGAGAGTTTGAGCCCCATGTTGGCTGCAGAGATTAACCAATTAAATAAATATATTTTTTTAAAGTAACGATATTGGAGAGGGCAAGGAAGAATATGACTGATGAGAACCTGTGGCTTTTGAATCCCACCTCAAATGCCTCTCTCCATTCATTTAAAAACTGACTATACATTGATCCATGGCAGGTGGCATGCTGGATCTAGAGGTAGTGATGAAGACGAACAGGCCAGCCATACAGACACAGCCTACTCTATACAGTGAGGCAGGTGCTGACTGAGGGTCTGCTCGCAGGGCTATTTGGGCATGTATTCAACAGCTAAGTTAAGTGTGCCCCCTACATGCCGGGCACTGTTCCAGGGCCTGGAAATGCAAATGAGAAAAGACAAAGTCTCTGCCTTCATGGACCCAGAACTCTGGAGGGAGGGAAAGTGAGCAAATAAATAAATAGAAATATGGTGGCAGGTAATGGTAAGTGCCATAAAGAAACAAAGGAAGCAGATCGGGCACTCTAAGACTCAGGAAATACCTCTCTAAGCAGGTGACCTTGGAGAAGAGATCTGAATTCAGTGAAGGAAGGAGGGGCCTGGATGTCTGAGGGGGACAGGTAGGGAGAGCATCAAATGCAAATGGCCTGAGAAGGAGCATGTTTGACATGTGGCTGGAGAGCAAGAAGGAGCAGGGGGCTCTACGTCCAGGGAACAGGCTTACAAAGGCCTCAGGTGCGCTGAGGTCAATAAGCGTCCACTAAGCATCTACTGTATGTCAGGCTCTGGTGAAAGATACAAAGTCCACACTGAAGGAGAGGGGTAGCACTTTCAAAGCAAGAGGCAGGGACAGAGACTCTGAAGTCCAAACCATCATGACCAGACACTAAGTCTCTAAAAGATGGATCTGGATTCAAAGATCCATCAACGACACCCACAATTAAATCTACATATCACTCTTCAGACCTAGCAAAACTCAGGCAAAAACCTTAGGTAAAATTGCTGGTTTCTGTGAAATCAAGTAAGAACAGCAGAAAATACAGAGACGCTTATTCTATCCAGCACAGTAAGTCGCCCAGTTCAAATGTGCCCTGATCCATAACACCTTTTGTGGCTCTACTGGCTCATATTAATCTCACCCACCTCAGATTTTCCAGATCATCTATGGCACCTTCACCACAGCATTTATCACATTTGACCTTGAACCACAGTGAATTTTTTACACTGCTCATTCACACCACGTATTTTAAGTTCTTTGGGGAAATCCCTTGTGTTTCCAAGAGCACAGCACTATGCAAGGAACTGGCTTAGGGCCACCAGCTTGCAACTTCTAACACTGGGTTTTTACCAACCTGCAGTAGGTCTTTATGCACTAACAGAGTCGCTACACCTGTATCCATTAAAAATGGCAATCTCTTGAAGGGACATACAAGAATACTGCATTTGAGATGTCTGTCTATAAAACACAGGAACAGAAGAACCGTAAATTAGAACCAAAGTGCCCAGCCCACTTTCATCTGTGACTATTCTATGGGATCAGATCTCAGGACTGAAGGATATCCTAAAGTGGCTCTGTGCTGGCAGTAAGCTTGCTTCATGTGGTTGTCCAGCCACTTAACTGCTTCCTTCAGACAGACAAGCAACGGCAGGCATCTCAGTGGGCCGGCAGAGTGTCCAATCCAGTTTGATTCAATTAATGTTTATGCACTACCTTCCATATACCATGGTGCTACACAGTCTCCACCCTACAGTGGGGAAGTCAGGCAAGTAAACAAATGACAACACAGAACAGTGTGTGACATTCTGAGAAGGAAGTATGCCAAGGGTAGCTTATAGGGAAATGGAAATAAGGGTGGTTTTGCATAAGAGGAGACACTTGAGCAGAGCCTTAAAGCTTAGAAGGAATCAGCCGGACGGAAGAAACAAAGAGGCAACACCCAAACTCAAGGTCTTTCAAGTAGTCCCAGCAAACGGCCAATGCACGTACTGTGAGTGGCTGGAGCTCCAAAGTGAAAGAATGGTGGCTGCAAGCATGGAGAGGTAGGCCGAGCCAAACTATGAAGGGTCTTGGAAACTAGCAAACTCTGAGTGGGGGGTAATCAGATGTAGGTTTTAGAGAAATCCTTCTGTTGACATCTGGGAGATGGGAACGTAGATGGCTAATTTGCTATTCATCATGCTGTTGCGAGGGCCTGATATATTTCAGAATTGGGGGGGGGAAAACATCACTTTGCCAGGCAGTTGTGTAGATGATGGAGTGGAAGTGGTGTGTGACTAGGTCCATGGAGCCCGGCTGGAAGTCAGCAATTCAAGCATGCAGTGAGGACCTGAATGAAGGCAGTTGTAAAGACAGAGAGAAAAGGATAGATTCAAGAGAAAACAGAAAGGATCTGGTGACTAAATCAGGGTAGGGGCACAGGGTGAGTGAGAAGCGAAAAATTCAATACACAATGAGAGTAAATTCAGGAGGAAAACCAGGGCTGCTCTGCTTTGTGAATGGGATGTTGTGAGGTAGAGGAGAAAACGAGGGGGAGGGAAGAAAGTTTTGTTTTGGTTTAGTTAAGGCTGAAACGAATTTGGACTCCCCCATGCAGATAGATGTCCAGTCAGTAGGTGGGTAGCAGGGTCCGGAATACCGTGGTTACATGGTCAGTTTAAAATGATAATTTTCAAGTGTTTACATGCATGTTCCCCGTATTTGACCCTTACAACCGTATTTATGGAGTAGAAAAATACATATTATTGTTTTCATCTTATAGGTAAGAAAACTGAATTTCAGATGATTTACTGCTTATCATACAGCTAATTAATGTGGCACTGCAACAAAATCCCACCTCTGACTGCTACTGCATGTTTTGTTTTTTTTTTAGTTTCTCCAGGATCTTGAACTTGACTGTTGAGAGAAAACAACTTTGGGCTATATGGGTCTCCTCCTGTATTAATTCTCAGGAGGTCAAAGACTCTCAGAGCGGCACCAAGTCAGGAAAGGGCCTTCTCCATCACTGACTATAAAGAGAGAGCAATGGCAATGAACATGAAGGGTAAGAGAGGTTCTGAGCAATCTTCCAACCAATTCCATTAAATCATTAAGGTGTAAACAACAGTTTGTCTCATCAGCCTTTTTTTGCCAAAGGCCTTCACTGTTTTTCTCTTTTAGTTATCCTTGCAAAGGCAGATTTATCGTTGAACTTCAGCAAGGGCTGGCAGTTTTCCAACACAAGGAAGCACTGTCCAAAGTCAGTCTAATTTTAAAGATTTCATCTTACTCAAACAAATTTGACACATCCTTACTAAAACGCTTTCTACATATTTAACTGTTGAGGTTTAAAAGAAGAGATAACAAGGAGCCCATGAAACCATCCCCGTTGTCAAAGAAGCTTGTGATCTTCGGAGAAAGACAAAACTTATCAACATGAAACAATTAGACACAAAACCATCCAAAACTGTGCAACCCCCCCCCTAAAATCAAGTTAACTGGGGAAAAGTGAACATGTGTTTTACTCCTGCTCATTCCTGATCCCTATCAAAATGCAAGTAAATACAAACAGGAGAAAGAGAACAATAAACATAAATATGAACATTTTTTCGAAGATGAAAAGTAGGTAAGTTAGCAGAACTGAGAAAGTGAATCCCATGGCCATAAAAAGAGATGCCTTTTCTGCCTTCACACATACACACCTTGGGAAGGCTCAGGGATTAGAGGTACCAGGTGGCACACGAGGCTAGGGATAAGGAGGGGTTGCAAACAAGAACTTGATACAAATTCTGTTTATGAAGAGGCATCAGACCACCAAATCTCTAGCCACATCCCGGGCAGCCAGTAGACGATTACAGCTGTACCCAGGCAGGAGAAGGTATATCTATTCTGCGAAGAAGCTGGACGGGCTCCAGACTGGGGGAACCTCAGGAACAATAAAAGGCAGAGAGAGGCACTGTACTGAAAACAGAAGCCCTAAAAGGAAGTCTGCATCCTGAAGGACGGGATCTCAGCTCTGCTCCCAGAATGCTGGCAGCCCCACCCCCACCCCCCAAATAGAAGGTTGGAAGATTCTTTCCTGCAGAAACCAAATGATTCCACAGAAAAGTTCAATAGATGCAGACTTTTGGGGATTCCCCATCAAACCAGGTAGGTTCCTGCGCAATCATCCTATGATATAAAACTCATCCTTGCCAAGTTCTTCCCACCTCTATACAGACCATCCAATTTGCTTCTTAGTGTCTTGCTCTTAATTGAAAATGACAACCAAAGACGAGCATACATTTGATTGAGGAAGGTGTTCAACATGAAACGACACAGCACAAAACAAACCGAATAAAGGGACTCAAAGGAACGGAAACTGAAAACCAAATAAAATCTCAACCCAAAACAACAATAACAAACTGTGATCACACAAAAACAGGATTAGGAAAAAAACCTGCGACAATTAGTGAAAAGTTTTTGGAAATTAAAAAGTGATAGTAGAAATAAAAACATAATTAAAGAGCTAGAACATAAATTTGAGTAAATCTCATAGAAAGTGTAACCAAGGAAAAAGATGGGAAATACAAGAGAAAGGATAAGAAAATAGGAGGACCAAGAGTTCCAGAGAAAAGAGAGAAAGCAGAGAGGAGAATATTATCAAAGAAACTATTTAAGAGATTTTCCTAGAACTGAAGGATTTGAACCTCCAGTTGAAAGAGTCCATCCTATGTTCAGAACAACGAACAATTTTTAAAAAGACCCATCCCCAAGGCACACTGAAATTTCAGAATACATTTCAGAAGTCATGGGATAAAGAGAACACATTTTCCAGAGACAAAAACCAGTTTGCATATAAAGGACTGAGTGGCATCAGAATTTTCAATAGCATCTCTGGAAGCTGTAAGACAAAAGAGCAATGCTCTCAAAATTCTGAGGCAAAATGATTTCCCACCTAAGATTCTACAGCAGACAAATTATCAGTCAAGTATGAAAAGAGAATAAAGATATTGTTAGACATGCAGGGTCTCAAATTTTACCTCCCACACACCCTTTTATCAGGAAGTGACTGGAGGATATGCTCTACCAAATAAATGAGCAAACCAAGAAGAGGGAGATAGGCATCCAGGAAACAGGGCCAAAAAAAGGGAAAGGGAATCAGCCAAACAGCAAGCCTTGAGTGTGGCTGGAGGACACCGGGCTCCAGGGGCGTGTCTGTGGGAGAAAATGAAACTGACAAGACCAACTGAAGTGTCTGCCTGGGATGTGGAAAATAACATTAAAGGATTTAAAAAGCATGGTTGTAGTTTGGAAATTAAGAGTCAGCTGGGCAGAGGAAACTCTGAAAACCAACAAGAGAGGCAGTTAATGAACCATATAAGAAAAAAAAAAAAGATTTTAGTATATTAATTGGGTTAGTAGGTGAATACTACTGGCCGCCAAAATAATACAAACATAAACATTAGGTACTGATGTAACTAAAAATTGTGACCTGAAGGATGAAGGAAGAGGTAGTGGATTGACAGAGGACAAGAAAGCTAAAAACTCTTCATAACAGACTGATAGAGGATGGCTAAAACTTAAAAAAAAAAAAAAAAAAAAAAAAAACAAGAAACAACAGCATACAGCATAATAATCTGAAATATGGATGAAATACCTACAGAGAGCTAAAAGCTGGAAATGTTCGCTTTCCCAGAAAGGAACTCAGGTTCCTTCTGGGAAGAATGTCAGAAACGATTGTGACACTACATGACAGGCTGGATGAGTCCCTGTCAACTATGAAATGTATGATTTTGGTCACCTTGGCTTTTTGTGGCCACCTGTTTGTTTCAAGCATGATGAGAGGCAGTCACTTTGAAGGGTTTATTCCATCATGAGAGGGAAACACGAGCAGAAAGGCAATGCTCCATTTTAACTTCACAGGTGACACAACTCACACAATGAACTTGGAAGGATGGCCTCCCTGTTCCTCAAAGCCAGCAAAGAGGGCTCCCCTGCCTTCTGCCAAGGACAATGGTTTCAGAACAGACATATTGGTTACATCCAGTGTTGCTGTCTACAGCATCCTATTCTAGGCCCTTCTGTTTCTAGTCGGTAACTGGAACGAACACACCCAATACCACACACACGTAAGTCCACAAGTTGTTGGAGACCAGGGAGACTGTGAAACCCAGTACATTCACTGAATGACTATGAACGTTCAAGGTCATTGCTATCTGAGGCAAGCCTGGCACTGCCTCCCCACCGAGGCCTACAGCAGGGAGGGGAACGTGAACAGCAGCACGAGGGGCACACAGTGAAACTGTTGTTTCACTACGGACATGGACATGACAATCTAGGAGGAACGCTGCCATGAAGTGAAAGTCACTACAGGAGTACTCTGCTGTTAGAATATATTCATGAGGGTTGATGTAGAAATCAAGTTTTCATAAGCCATATTTCCCCCATGGTTTACACTATTACTTCGGGGGCCCTTATCTTTTATTCAATTCAATTTACCTTGGCATGGCTTCTTAACACTGTTTCTGTTCTACAGCTGTAAAAAAAAAAAAAAAAAAAAGGCACAGAACTGCTGAACTGCATGAAAATGACCTCCAGAGTTCAAGATTCTGATTCGACCTTAGTGAGTCATTCAATGCATGCACTCATCGAGCAAAACAGTTGTCATACTGCATGCTCCACGACAGCGGGGACTGTGCTTGTCTCATGCCACCTTCCCAAGTGGCAGTTACACAGTACCAGGCACCCAGAGAGAAGAAAGGAAGAGGCCACTGTTCTACTCTAGTACCTTACAATAAATAAGACCAAGTCTCTGCTCTGAAGAACTTCAGAGACACAGAAACAAAAAATTATAATGCAATTTCCTATGTGCTATAAAAGAACTGTGCAAAAGCTAAGGGAACATGGAGGAAGGCCTGGATGAATGGCATTTCCATTAGCAAGAAAAGGGATGAAAGGGCTTTGTAAACAGCAGGTAGAATGTGAGATCACACTGCAGCCAAGGTGATGTAAAAGCAGACACTTCCCAGTTTTCTGCATTCTTCACCCAGGGTCTCTTTCCTAGAAGACTAGGCTCCTTCCTGCCTCTTCCCAACCCCCCATTTCCAATTTACCTCTTCAATTCCGATCAGCTTGAGCAAAGCTCTCCTCCTAGGAACGTCTTCCTTTCCTTTACAGGCCAAGCAACTGGCTCTTCATGAGCTACTTAGAGAGCTTCTTTTACTTTGCCTTCATTACAATGTTTCAGTTTAGAGTTCTGTATCTGCCACTATTTGAGTCTTTCTCACTAGAATACAAACAACCATGTTTACCACTGTATGCTCACTGCCAAGAAAGAGCTGTACCTGGCACACGCTGAAAGCTCAAAGAGTAAGAGAAATCTACACCTAAAGTAATGAGGGAGCCTAGCTACTCAAAGAAAGGTATGGTAATTTTTAGATTAGAGAACTCAAATAGCCTTTGCCAAGTTATTTCTTGGGTAAAAAAAACACTGCACAAATTTTACTAAATATACATGCACACTCATTCCACCCTAAGATGACATGTTACCCTAGAAAGAAAAAGCACTGTTTCTTCTCTTGTTTAGTGTGTGTGTGTGTGTGTGTGTGTGTGTGTGTGTGTGTGTGTATGTGTGTGTGTGTGTGTGTGAAGAAGTGCTTATAAGAACGATGTGCTCCCTGGCTTGTCAAAGTCCAGAGGTTTAACTGGGCTGAGGGAGGAAGGCCAGGTACCTTCCTCAGTCACGTTTGCAGACAAAGATGCCTTCGCCTTAGGGAAACCATAAATCCAGACTTTGAGACCCCTTTCTTGGAATTTTGACTCTAAAAGGCCTGGAAATAACAGCTAACATCAAATGTTTACTAGGGCACCTGTGTGGCTCAGCTGGTTGAGCGTGTGACTCTCAATTCTGGCTCAGGTCATGATCTCAGGGTCGTGGGATTGAGCCCAGTGTTGGGCTCTGGCTCTGCACTGAGCATGGAGCCTGCCTGGGATTCTCTCTCCATCTCCGCCCCCTCCCCTGATTACCTGCTCGCTCTCTCTCTCTCTCTCTCTCTCTCTCTCTCTCTCAGAATAAATAAACATTAAAAAAAAATGTTTACCATGAGCTAAGTATACTTTAATTAAAGTGGATTAAAAAACCCACTGATCACTTCTCACCAGAACCCTAAAAGGGAACCCAGGAAACTGACAAGTACACAGGTGAATAATTTACCCAGGGGTATAGAGCTGGGAATGAGCGACACTGGGTTTTAACTCCAAAATCTCAACCACTGTGCTATATACAACTTCTTGAAACACGCTCTCTCCTTACTGTTTTTCTCATTCCTGAATAAGAGGACTCCCCCATAGCTCATCTTCTCTCATTTCCGCCCTGTTTCACATTCCCCACTCCTTGTTCATTCTGTCTTGCTCTTTTTCTTTCTTGCCAAGGTCATAGGAAACCAATAAAGACGACTGAGAGAGAGGCACTATGTTCTAGCTGGGAAATGGGTCCCAGAGGGACAGGAGTAGACGTAGTTA